AGGGTGGTCACTGCCAGGGTTTCTTTACGTCCTCAGTGGTTCTTTTACGTCCCTCCGGTATTGGTTTGTAATGAAGGAGTGTGGAGAGACGGGACCACCATTTAAAGTGGTCATCTGAGCCACTTGAAAGTCTAACCATTTGTAGATGTAATTACAAAGGCAGCACTTTCTCCTCACCTATCCTCCTTCATGAACTCCATCAAAAATCCGATTTAGGGCACATCTACTTGCCGTAAATTTTAAAGACCCTGAAATAATGTCAAGTCTTTTGACTCGACATAAACTCACCCATCATATGTTGAATCTATGTTGGGATCATTTCGTTCATTGATTAAAAATGTGGATGTGAAGAAAAACAAAATCTTTGAGCATACGTCATAGTCGACATTTTGACGTCGAAGGAGAAGGAGAAGAAGAAGGAGGACCGGCGAGGAGCACTAATTAGGAGGACGAGGAGCAGAACAAGGACGGGGAGACGAAAAAAAGGAGGAGCAGGAGGAGGACGAGAATAATGAAGGGGAGGAGCACTAGCTTAAGGAGGGGAGCAGGGGGGACACCACCATCACCACCACCACCATCACCACCACCAACACCAGGCGAACCACTTCCTTTTTTTCTCCAATTCATGCAGTAAATTTGAACTCGTCGCCACATTATCACTTTGAGGTTTTTTCCCTCGCATTCTTTACCGAAAAACATGTCCTCAAACCTTACAAGCTGAGGGCGATAACTAACGCCTTTTTCATTAATGAGCTTTAGATTTAGGAATACTGCAGCTCTAGGAGGCTTACGCACAAAGGCTTCTTCGTTTTTTAAATTAAATGGGTTGAAAACTACTGGACTTATTGCAACTAAATTGTTCCCCTCATTTGCTTTAACGATGCTTTCAAATTTCGTAAAAACTCCATCGAATCTTCGGCGACGTGAATCGTATTTATTTCCTGGTGGTTTACGTTCTGGGTGAACTTCATAAAACTGTTTTACATCATCATCAATCATCCAAATATACTCGAGGCCCAGTGAAGTTGCGATCTTTTGAATCCAGTACCTTGCGTACCCGACCCCTTTTTCGTTGTCTGGGAGACTAATGATGGGCAAATAATTACCACAATGCTTCTGATATTCCTCAAACTCACTTGGTCGTACTACAATTATTCTAATGGTGATTTCTTCATCTATGCCCGCTTCACTCCAGTCAAAAAGACCACAGTTTGCGCGCATATATGAAGGAATAAAAATCCATCTTTAAAGTAAGATTGGGGCGCTCGGCTGACGTAAAGCCAGACTCTTCTAAGAACGTTTTCTTACGTCCAGGGACACTCACTTTTAGCATGTCTCCGTTGACATCGAGATTCTGCTCCTCAAAATCTTTATATGTCATGATACCAGGTAAAGGCTTAGCTATATATCTATATTTTTTTAGAGCTTTTTCCTGTTCCTGGTCATCATCAGACTGGGTCTCGTTCTGTTTCGTCTCTTGTATAAAACTGGGAAGGTCACTGGAAACTTTTTGAAGATCAATTTTATGCTGCCGTTTCCATTTTTCGGTGACTGGGTATTTGTTTGAACAGCTGATCAGGCCATTAAAGTCTTTATTTAAGTAATCATTAGCTTCATGATCTTGCAAAGGATTATCTTCCAGCCACTCGTAGGAAGTCTCAAGCTCTAGATTGGATATTCCCTCTACAAGTTCATCTTCGTCATTTGAAGAGGTAGTCATTGTTGTACCCTCACTTGAAGAAGGGGATCTACGACTTTCTGAGTAACTGGATGATTCTGCACTTTGATTTGACTGATGAAAGTATAAAAAGAAACACTCGTATTAGAGTGAGAGAAGCCTACACACATCAGGAAATCGTTTGTCTCATCGTTTTAGAGGGGAAGTCTATTTAAAACTTATAATGTGCCAGTTCATTCTACCTTTCGAAATAAAACAGACATATGGTTACTACTTCGGCTTTCGATTGTCTGCGAACTCTGAAATAGTTCAACGGCTTGCTGTGAAATTGGTTTTTCGCTGCCGCCAGTCAAAAATATAAAAGGTACCAACTGATTATTTTTGACTGACGGCACATGGGCAAAAATTCCATACAGTCCAGCGGTTTAATTCGCGGGCGCGGAAATTCTCGCTGTCACCTTATGCGCATGCTCAATCGACCAAAACAATATGGCATCCAAGAGGGAAAGAAGAGGCGAGTCGAATAAATTTTATAAATGCTTGAATGAATTGAGTACATCTGATTTTTTGGTCATAAGCCATATAAATTATATACCACAGGAAGCCCAAAAATTCAAAAATATTGAGTCTTCCTACTATTCTTAATGATGGGAATGATATGCACGGTGGAATTTGAGTAATAAACCCAAAACAATAAATGTTAATGGACATGTTCACGTAGATTACGTAATATCTTAGCCATAAATACGGCTGTTAAGCAGAGGTATTGCATTCTTGCTCAGTTTTACCAGCAGTAAAAGACGAAGCGGCCCACCCGCCCTCCCTTCGATTCGCGTGGGTCGTTGCCGTCCCCTAAGCCAAGCCGTGCCAGCTTGACTTAGGCCGCTGAATGGAGATTTTTTCCCATACTTAATTCAACTGGGCATGAATGCGAGCATTATGAAATAGATTACTATTTATATAGTTTTTGAAAGGATTTGGCCGCATGGATTTTTGGTAATAGGGAAGAAAAATTACTTAGAAATGTTTGGTTATCGAACTTTGAGTGGCGATGTATAGAGGTTGTCCAACGATTGATCCTACGTAGCAACGAGCAAACGATTTTGTGCTACTCAGAGGTTTTCTGTGATTTACAGGGCAGTTAGGGGAGCAATTTTCAAAGATTTTACGAGCTTCGGGCCGTGGAATGGTGCATTATAGTAAAGAATGTTTACGATCTACTTAAAGTTAGATGGGATATGACAGTTTCTAGATGTGCAGAGGTGAGCCATATATTACCAGAAGCTTTTAATTTCTTCTCCATTCATTCTCTTATGAAGCTGCCATTTTATTTCGACCAGAAACGAGCGAAGTGCGCATGCTCATCCGCCATACTGTAAAGAATTTTTGCCCATGAGCGAAAAAACAAATTTCAGCGTGCAGCTTTTAACAGAATATCGAAAACCGCAGTATAAAGATGTTGGAAAATAAGTGTCACCAGACAAGATCATTGGATTTGCTTGCCTGCCCTACATCGCTAACACTACTGACCTCATTGGAAAATTACTTAGAAGATTTACCATTCCTTCAACAATTCTTCACAAAGTGCATCAAGCACTTCCGCCTCAGTGAACTTAATATAAGTGTCTATTTGAGAACGTGGGATTGTGGCAAATACTGTGTTAGACAAACTGGACAAAAGTTGAATGCAGAATAAAAGCCGAAACACAAGTGACAAACGAGGAATACGCCATACTACTTTTACATCTTTTATCATTATAAGAGACAAATCCTACGTTCTGGCCTATACTAGATAATTTAATTCAAGACCTTATCGATTCTTGTCCTTCGAATCAGTGCTGATTCATCACTCCCTAATGTGCATTGTTATGCTGACGACACGCAGCTGTACTTTTCCCTTAGTCCCAAAGAGCAGCCTGGACAAGCTGATGCAGTTGTAGCCGTCGAACGCTGCACTCAAGATATCAGGAGTTGGATGTCTCAGGATAAGCTACTTATGAATGATATCAAAACCGAACTTCTTTTGCTAGGTACCAAACAGCAGCTTGCAAAAGTCAGTATTAATAGTTTAAGTATAGGAGACTGTGACATTGTCCCGCAGTCGCCTGTACGTAACCTAGGTGTGTGGTTAGATTCAAATTTATCTATGAGTGCTCACATTACGAAAACATGTTCTGCTGCATTTTATTACTTATACAACATAAGAAGAATTAGAAAGTACCTGAGTAGGGATTGCACAGAGACTTTAATTCATGCTTTTATATCTAGTCGTTTAGATTATTGTAATAGTCTCTTTTACGGCCTGCCAGCTTATCAGCTTCAAAAGCTCCAGAGGGTTCAGAACGCGGCTGCTCGTCTTGTCTTTCAAGAGAGCAAATTTCACTGGTTACCCATGAAATATCGCATTGATTTTAAGATAGTACTGATTACTTTCAAGGCTATCCATGGGCTTGCTCTACCATACATTTCTAATCTAATATCTGTTAAGAGTAATACTGGGAGGTATAGTCTTAGGTCAAATAATAATGGTATTTTATTAAATATTCCCACATGTAAGTCTCTAAGGACACTTGGCGATAGATCTTTTTGAATG